CCAAGAAAGATGATTCTGTCTGTAAACACATGAATCAACAAAGCTGCATCTACTTCTAAAGGCATAAAAGGTGATCAAGTACAAGATGATGCAGTCATTGCTTGTGAATCCAAGATGTTTCATGCCACCTATGGCACTGGGAGAAGCCATTGCCAAGCAGGAGGGGTCTGTGCCATGTGCCCAATTTGGCAGCTGCCTCTCCAGATGCTTGGCAGAGCAATCTGGTGCCCCCAACCTGCAGGGGCTGAGCTGCTGGGATTTGGCACTGGAACCTCTTGGCCTTTCATCCTTGCACAACCCTGAGATGTGAAATCACGGTGACAAGGTGACAGTCATAAAAAAGATGGGAGATGGATTCTGCATGCTCAATAGAAGCAGAGGGACCACCTGCCCACATTACTGATGGTGGGTTTACTGGGATTGTTTCTTGAGAGGACTCAAAAATAGTTCCCTTCCATACCAGAACAGCAGGCTGGTGCTTGTTTCCAGTGAGCAGGGCCTGTGTTTCTGTGTCCCTGGATGTGTCCAGCAAACCACAGCAGTGCAGGGTTCTTACACAAGGCAGTATGACACAAGACCCTGGGTTGGGAATCATTCTCAGAGGTGCCAGAAGAGAAAACTGAAACCTCCTCTTCCCTGTTGTGGTGGGAGAAGGAGGAAAGGGAATTTTTGGGATAATGGTAACTCCAGCCTGTCCTCTGAACTCTCATCCTGATGCTGCAGGGAGCAGCAGGTAAGGGAATAATGAATTGAATGCATGGAAAAATGGAGGATTTAAGTGATGCTGCAGTGGAGCTGCCCAGTGGTACTGAGTGYTCTGTACAGACATAATGCAGATGAAAGGAGATAAAGAAAACCTTTGGGTACAGGTATTTATTTAATCCCTATCAAACTCATGAATCTCATGTGAGTTTTCCTGGTGGCAGTGTCATCCTCCATGGCATCCCCACATCACATCTGTTTAAGGAATGGCTCCTACTGCAGGTTCAGCTGGGACTGAAGCAGAGACCTTGTAACAAAGCTCTGGCACTTTTAGGGATGAGGTTTTACCATTATCCCCATGGTTCCTAACTCATGTCTTTATGGCATGGGGGTAGGGTCCTGAGGAAAAAAAATGATACCTGGGCCTGTAAAAGCCAGGACAATGTTCCTGCTCCCAATAAAGGAGCACCTGCAGGGCAGCTCCAGCCCAGGCACCCCAAAGAGCCTGGCCCTGCAGGCACTGACAGGCTCAGCGTCCCCAAAGCACAGCCAGGCAGGAGCATCCCCAGGGACACACACGCTGCTCACCCCCAGCACCATCCCCAGGGCCTTGTGCTGCCACCAAGGCAGTGCCACCCCCAGGGCCAGYAGGCACAGCAGCCCTGCAGCAGCAGGACACGCACACACGGCCCAGCCCTGCAATGCCCAAGTGCTCGTCTTTATTGAAACCGGGAAAAGCAGCCCCTGCCCCAAAGACAGCGGGGCTGGCACCAGAGGGCTCCAGCCCAGCAGCAGCCAGCAGGAGCAGCTGCCACTGCTGCTGTCAGCCCAGCTGGGCAGGGCAGAGGCAGGGAAAGGAGGGGACATCAGGAGATGGGTCCAGGAGCCAGAAGCGAACAGGATGTCCTGCCTGGGAATTTCATGGTTTCAACCCCAGATTCTGCAGAAAGAAAGAAAACAAACACATCACCGGCTGTAACTTCTCCTGCCACTCTGTCCCTCTCCCCTGCAATGCCCAGTGTGTGGTGCAGCAGACTCAGGCTCAGGGCAGGTGAGGTTCATTCCTCAGTGCAGACAGGTTGGCCCTGGGGTATCTGAGTGGGGACAGCCCTGGCTCCAAGGCTGTGCAGATGCAGGAAAACCTGGATCATGTCCTCGGTGCTGCCCAAGGAGAGGGAATGTTTCCCTCTTTGGTGGCCTGGGCGATTCCTGTGCAGAGCCTGAATGAGCCCCCTGGGACTGGAGGGGAGTGGGGATGCCCTGGCTGTTCTGGATTTCCTGCAGCCCCACTCAGGGCAGCTCCAAGCATCTTCTCTCCCCTCCCCTTGGCTCTGCATTGGAGCAGAAAGGGCACTGAGCCATTTGCTACTCAGGGGCTCTTAAATACCGTCTGGAATGATAAGAGCAGCTTTTGTAATTCCCAAACTTACTTTTTGCAGCAAAATTGAAATGTGGAACATTTTCCCGCGACGACATAGGGAAAATTGCAATTAAAAAGTGAGCAGTACCCTTTTTGTTTCTGGCATTGTTTCTTGTTTGTTGGACTCAGGGTGGACCCTGCAAAGTGAAAGAGGTCGAAGTGAGTATGGAAGGACTATAAAAAATGTATCTGGCTGCAGAGGAGCTGTTGCTGGTTCTGAGTCCCAGCCTCCTATAGGAACTGAGCCCCGAACCCAACATCTTTGCCTCTCCAGTCAGAGTTCATTTTTCCTACAGCGCTGTGTGCATGGGGGAAAGACACAGGGAAAGAGCAGCATGAGCTACAGGAGTTGCTGTGCTGGATCSTCAGCTGCCCACTCCTTGCTCAGAGCAAATCCCTCCCAGATATTATAAACACCTGAGAAATTTGGTCTCTTCCCAGGTGCTGGAAAACCCCAGTGATGGGGGTTCACACCTCAGCCATGTCCCCCCTGTCCCTCTCACCTGCAGCAGTGTGGGCCAGCAGCAGGAGCAAGGGGAAGAGCAGGTAGAGGATCCTCATGGCTGATGCCTGTCCTGGGTCTTCACRGGGCTGCAGAGGGAACACACCAAGAACCAAAGCAGGGWCAAGGATTTGGAGAAATCYTYRTGYYTGGAGATGCCAAGSTAAATGGWCTTYTATCCAAYGCTCTCCATCACCTCAGAGAKTCCAAAGYTGRCTGCCCAAACACCCTGCACCATCCCCTGTGCTTCCATTGGCTCAGGAAAGTCTTCCCAGCTCAGCTTGGGAGTCTCTATCCATAATTCCAGAGCATTCTCAGGATTCCCGGCAAGGACATTCCCCACCCCTGGACAGCACCAAGCCAGGAAGGAGCAAGAGGGCAGGGAAGTGTCCTGGTGGCCTGGAAATGACTCTCCAGTGACCTACCTGATGGAGGTGATGGTTCAAATTACACCAAGGCAGCAAAGGGCTGTAACAAACCAAGCTGGAATCACTTGCACCCAGAAGCGTTTGGTTTGGGAAGTGTCCCTGTGCCCAGAACATGCTGGTTTTGCGCAGTTTCCGGGGTGGGACCAGCACCAATTGCTGCTGGCACAAGTGCCCTGAGCCAAGCTGAGAGTGCCCCACGAGTGTGGGGGTGCTGGGGCTGGGGCTGAGGGGCCTCCTGGGGCTGTTGCAATTGTCACCGTTATCCCCATGCAACACCTCTTGTGACACCTGCGGCACAACGGCACCGGGCTGTGGAAACCTTTGGGAGGGGGACAGAAAGTGCTGGGTGCAGAAATCAGTTCCTGCAGCCCAGTCCTGGGGGAGCACAGTCCTTTCTTCACAGTCTTGCACAAACATCCTGGACAATTTAGGATGGAACTGAAAATTTTCTCATTCCACTCCCTGACATGAGCAGAGACACCTTCCACTATCCCAGGTTTCTCCAAACCCTGTCCATCCTGGCCTTGGGCACTTCCAGGGATCCAGGGACAGCCACAGCTTCTCTGGGCATCCTGCACCAGGGCCTCACCACCCTCACAGGGAACAATTYCTTCCCAATATCCCATCTAACCCAGTTCTTTATGAGTTTAAAGCCATTCTCCTTTGTCCTATTGCTCCAGGCAATTGTCCAAAGTTCCCCTCCAACTATTTCAGATTTATTTGAGGCACTGGAAGGGGCTCTTAGGACTCCCTGGAGCCTTCTCTTCTCCAGCATGGACACCCCCAGATAACTCTATATCTGTGCTATGTCTTTTGGTGTGTCTGTGCTATATCTTGGTGTTTACCAGTCTGCTTTTTTGAGTTAGGCAGAAAATGAAAACCTCTTTTGAGCTTTCTGCTCCAGAGCTCCATCACTGGGCAGAGTTTTTCTGCCAAGCCATCACCCTGAGAGAAATCTGAAACATTTCTTTAATCATGTGGTGTGTTCTAGAGAACTGAAGTTCATCATAGAGGCATCTTCATAGGAAGTGAGAGGTGGATGAAGTTACTCAGTTAGACAGGATGGAAGGAAATGCCAATAAACACCAGCCTGGCATCTGCCAAGTGCCTCATACCCAGCTGGGAATTAGGAATTGGCCAGGGCAGCCTCCTTGGAAAGAGAAATCTTTAACAGCCCAAGCAGAGCCACTCATTATGAACACTCATGTTCATGGATCCCCTTCATGGGGGCGTTTTACAGAGAGGGTGAGGTCAGCCTTATGGAGGGAAGCCTTTCTAACCCCAATCTGTGTCCAKCTGGGTGGAGAGGAGAAGGCCCCCAGTTCCCACCCTGCAGGGGTACCCAGATCACCCATCTGCCCCATGGCACCCCTTTGTATGTCACTGTGAAGGCACCTTGAAGCCCCTCTGGGAGATCTGATTTCCTCTAAGGTCCACTAACGTGTCCTTGAGATGTTCCATGGGTTCATCCCAAATTCTCATGAGGGCAAGGGAGCCTCTCCCTGCTGTGGGGTGGGGTGTGGGTACATCTCCCAGCAGGGTCTCTGGCAAGGAGGGCTACAGTGGTACCATGGCCTCCAGATGGGGAATCAGGGGTTTTAACCACTCCTGTTTTCCCAAGAAAAGAGTTCTGCACAGCAAGAAAGAAAGGATCTTGGCATCTGAACACATTCCCATGAAGCCAGCCTTTCTCTCAGCACTGCAGGGTGAGGTCTATGTAGCCCTGGAATGTTTTTCTGTATGTTTTTCAGGAAAAGTCAAATTTAGGAACATTTGATACCGTAAATTGTTGCCCTTTGGGGTTTGTGTCTCAAACTCCAGGCGGGATCATGACCCAAATTTCAGTGCATGTTTCAGTGACCAATGCTAAGCAACAACAATTTATTTAGAAGGAGRGAGAGTGATGCAGAACACATTTGGATTTACTCCACACCATAAAGCCTTTTGCATTGGGAATGAAAGGTGTGTGCAGCTTTGCAGCAGGATCCAGTGGGTTTAGGAGTAAGGAGATTCCAAGCAAATTTGTAGGTTTAGAAGAAATTTTCATTGCTCTTCAATGAATGGTTCATCAACTTCATTTCCTACATTCCATGGCCTGCACAAAGGAAAAAAATAAATTCAGATTTCCTTTCTGCGTACATTCCCTCCCTATTTATTCTCAGTCCCTGCATATTTTGCATATTTTCCCCCTGAATTGCGCTGTGCATTTATACTTGTGAGGAAGGAGATTGTTTCCCTACTGTTTCWGGAAAAGCAGGGAATTAAACTGATATTCCTAGATTTTGGGATGAAAACATTCATTCCTGAGGGAAAATAGAAGGCTGATATGATTATTCGTATGATAATTTAATTTTACAGCACTGTGGCCTTTTTGGCACTCATTTGGTGGCATTCAGGAGCCTCTGGTCATCAACTCAGCACAGCAGCTCAGTTCCACAAATGCCAAACCATGATATTTTGCTCTGGCACTGGAGCTGTAAAGAGATAAAAGAGAGCTGAGACAGCACAAGGCTGACATCTCTGTGGCATTTTATCGCTCTCACTGGAGCAGATCTTGGTGCTCCATCAGGAGAAAGAGCACTGTGGAGCTAAATTTACTTGAATTCTAAGAATCACAGAATCCCACAATATCTTGTGTTGGAAAAAACTCACAAGGGTCATCGAGTCCAGCTCCTGGCCCTGCACAGGAGAACCCCCAAACCCCCCACCCCTGTGCCTGACAGCATTGTTCAAACACCTCTTGGACAACGTGTAATGCTTGAGTCAACTCAGAACCTTCACTGTCCTCATGGCATAGTAGCTTTTTTTTCCCTTATATCTAATTTAAACACTCAGTAACACCTTGGGATTTAGGATACAGGCAAAATATCGAATATTTCTCTGCTCATCCTGCAGATGAATGCCAAACTCACTCTTTGCAGCAGGAGCGGAACCCAAAGCAACTTCCAACTTTCACCAGGTGGAAGGGGCATCCTCCAAAGTAACAGCTCCCTCGTTTGCAGAAAAGCATTTCCCTCCTGGGCAAAGACAAACCTGCAACAAGGGCAAAATATTTCCTTCCCCCTTGCTCTGCAGGGCAGGGAATTGCAGTCAAAGGGTTTTCTGTTTGTTGAGCTGCCTTTTGGGGCAGCAACATCYCATCTTGGCTGTTTTGAAAGCCTCTGTGGGAAGTGAGGTTACAAAGCAGATCCAGCAAAGTGCTGGGCTGATTGATTAATTAATTCCTGACTGGATTGTAGCACTTTTAAACAGAAGTGGTTAAAATGTGCTGGGAATTTTACTTCAGGTGCACAAAAGTCCCGTTTTAACATCTTTTTCCCATCTTACCTGGAGAAACCTGGAGAGCCAAGAAGAGGAGAGAAAAGAGCAGGTAAAGGATCTTCATGGCTGTGGATTGGCTCTGGCACTGTAGGGAAAAGTACAGGAAAGATGTAAGACAGACAGTCCCTGGGATCTGCAGGCTTCTGAACTATGCTAACACTGCATTAATAAAAATGGCATTTATATTAATTTTRTCTTCAAGCTTTCAAAAATAATCAGTAAAAAAGTAAAATTTTCCCATAGGAAATCGTGACTGTTGTGTGGGGCAAGATGTTTTCAGGACGTGAGATCATTAGGTTACTTTAAGAGTTTGGCTGCTCAGATTTCTTTTACATTTTGYAAATAATCCTGAGMCAGAACAGAATYRTGGAATSACTCTGGAATGGTTYGGGTTGGAAAGAACCTTGAAGCTCATCTCTTTCCAAATCTCTGCCGTGGGCAAGGATACATTCCACTGGAGCAGGYTGTTCAAAGTCTCACCCAACCTGGTCTTGAATACTTCCATAACTTTATTTTTAGCGAAATGATTTTATCTAGGAAATGCACAGCATTAAGCAAAATGAGGTGATATTGCAGTCAAAATTACAAACGTTAGCAAAAGAATAGTTCATTTTGCAATGTTAAAATTTATCAAGAAATAACAACTGAAATCAACTTGCTCAAACCCTTCAGTCTTGGTTTACAGGCAGCAATTCTAGAATGGAAATGCATCATCAAATCAGTTCCCACATGAATAGAAAATTTGAAAAAGCAAACATATGATACCTTCATTGGAAGAATTTAAACTAATATTAGGATTAGCTTTATAGGATAGGATCGTTTTATAGGATAAAATAGCCTGGAAGGGAGATTTTAGATAAAGAAATTGCAGTAAATGTTTTCTATCCTGGCATTAGGGAACATTCTGATCTGTCGTAATTCACGTTCTCTCAAGCAAGGAAGGGAAATGAGATTGTGCTGAAATGTCCTATTGCTGCAAACTGAATTGACAGAGGGTCTCCCAAAACTTYCAAATTTAGTGTTAGAAGTTTACACAAGTTTCTATATATTTGAAAATATCAGGAGAAATAAGGAGACAAAGTTAACAATTCTGAAAAGGAAATAAGTGTCCTAATGTAAAGACACAGATAAAAAATATACCATGCAACATATGTATGATATTCTGTAGATAAAATAGATAGATATACAATATAATGCAAAATAGATAGGTACACAATTTTACACTTATTGTGTGTTACAAATATTACATAACTATTTACAGTAGTTTCAAACAATAGATATTTAATGGAAAAAATTATATATCAATATGTAGATTTCTACTGAAGAGGCCACCAAAATCTCTGAGCCACAGACCTTTCTATGGTAACCTGACCCAACCAGATATTTATTTTTCCTAGAGATTTTTTATTTAAGCATTCTAGTAATATCTAATATTTTAACTACTTATTCAACCTGTCCAATTTTCTGAAATCTTAGGTTTACCTTTTTCAGTTACATGCAAATTAAAATTAATACTGCAGAGGATTGGGGGTTTTGTTTTGGGGTTGGGTTTTTGAGGAAAAAAACAAAAGCTGGCATTGAAAGAAAATAACTGAGACATTACCAGTATGAAATGAGCCCTGAAGCCAAACAAGACCTGCTCGTCGTCCTTTCCCTCCTGAGGCCTTTGGCTGTGGGGCTGGGATCCTCTTTTATACAACGTGAGACCAAAAAAGCCTTCAAGTGCTTTCTCTTCTCAGCCATGCATTGAACCAATCCAAAAATTACCCTTTTTTTTTTTTTTTTTAAGTGGCCTCTAATCCAACCAGAAACCAGCTGCCTTTTACTTCCCTTCCCAGTGATAAAACAGGGTTTCTTTCCGAACCTGTTAGAGCTTTTTTTCCTGGAAAATCCCAGGTTTTTCATGCAACACCTCTTGTGACACTCCAGTTTGAGTAAGATACGTTAACCCACTGGGGTATGTCTCAAACATCTTGGGACATAGACTGAACTTAGGAGTCCCTGCTTAGGASCAACTTAAAACCTTGCAATACAAAGTATCTGCATGTTCACTGCAATTCCAGTTAATTTTCTGTTCCATAAATACAGAATACAAGAACTCAGAAGGGATATGTGAAACAAAAACAAATGTCCATTGGCTTCCTGGTCAGTGGCCACTGAAGATGTGTGAGTAACAAAAAAAGTGCTGAAATAAGTGAGTACATCATGGTCACRTCCCTGGACACCCTTCCAGCTGATSRAAAATRTGTAAATTTTGGTAAATCCATTGCCAGAGGATGTCTCTGGACACTCAGGTTCCAAAGCTCCTGGTTGGGTTTTTTTTTCCAGGACTCGGATTGATTTTTTTATACTTTTGTCTTCCACAGGACCCTCATCTGATCATTCCAAAAACACATTATGTCTTAGATGAGGATTCAGTGTTTGGTTACCTGCTCTCAGTCTGCCAGTTGTTGACCTCTGCTTCTTCTGCCATGGGAAGCAGCCCCAACTTCTGCATTTGAAGAGATGGRGAGAGTAGGAGCTGCTCAGCCTGGAGAAAAGAACCAGGGAGACCTTAGACTCCTTTTCAGTGTCTAAATAGGGATTATAAAAGGAAAGAGAAGGACATTTTATATGGGCAGATAGTGACAAGACAAGGGGAAATGGTTTTGAGCTGACAAAGGGCAGCTTTGTGTTAGATGTTAGGGAGAAATCCTTCCCTGTGAGGGTGGGGAGGCTCTACAYAGGGTGCCCAGAGAAGMTGTGGCTGTCCCTGGATCCCTSGAARTGTCYAAGGCCRGRTTGGATGGGGCWTRGAGAGACATRGGATAGCAGAAAGTGTCTCTTTCTACATCAGAGCGGTTGGAATGAGACGTTATTTAAGATCCCTTAGAACTCAAACCATTCYATGTTTCTATGCTTCTAAGAAATTAAACACTTTCTGAGATCATATTTTACTTTACACCTCCCTTCAATCAACAAATATTATTCAAGCAGTATTTTAACATGATATATGTAGTACGTCTTATTAGTTATTGATAAATTTGCTAATTTGAATTAATGGTGTTTTTAATTGACCAGGACCTCCGCAAATGTTACGATGCCTTACATGACATTTTGAAACTGAAATATTTTAAGTGCTGACTGGTCCATCAGTTTCGTTACTAATGATGTTATTTTTTCAATACTTTCATATTAAGTTTTTAAGTAGAAATATAGAATTGTTTGAGTTGGAAGGGATTTTTGAAAGGTGAATTAGTCCAAGGCCCCTGCAATCRGCAGGGACATCTTCAATTAGATCAGTTCTCTCAGAGCCTTGTCCAAGTATAGAGGTGCACAGAAGTGCACAGAAATTATCTGTTTGCATATGAAAACATACCTRCAAATTATTTCTCATCAACACCCTGGCACAGCTTTTTATTCTCTGCACATTTTTATATGTGAACTGTTTCTGCAATAGGAAAAAAATGTAATTGAATTTTTGGTGCATCTGCCAACGTCTGGCATTGAAACTGAAAAATGGAGGGAATAAAATTGCAAAAATTGCAGTTGCTTCACCTCTTGCCAAGTGTTTGTGGTTAAATTGCCAACTGTTACTGTTACCCAAACCAATTCCTCAAGGARACAAAGGTGCAACGTTAACTTTTATTGTCTCTAAGATCCTTTGTGCAAGTAATATCAGGGGCTTGGCTTTTACACTGAGCATCCTTGGCACTGTTTAATGTAAATTCTACATGGTCACAGTCCCAACACTGCTATTAAAAGGGAGAAGCAGAGGAGAGATGGAGCACCTTTGACAGAACTCGGAAAGATTTTGGGTTGTGGCTCTTAGGGTGGACAATATTTTTATCCCCATCTGCAGCTCCCATTTTCCTGAGCAAAGGACACTTTCAAACATTCTAATGAGGTCAGCATTATAAAATGTATTTTGTTTGATAATACAGTGCTGAGGAGCTGCTCTGCCTGATGCAGGTGGGAAAAATTATAAAGGGAAATGTCCACAGAAAGAGGCTGCAGAGTGTCTGGAGGTGAAAAGTCTTTCACCTTTTCTAAATCAAGATGTTTGAGTCATTTTATCAAGATCACCTTCCAGAGAGGGAGGAGGACCTTATTTCGATCTTAGGAGTTGTATCTGGTACAGAGGATGAGCCAATTAGAAGCAAAAATGAGAATATCAAACTCTGCTCCTGGTAGTTTTCTCTTGAATAAAAAAAAAAAAAAAAATGGGAAATATTAGGGAGATCTTTTCAGTGGTGTTACTCCAGATTTAAGTGCTTCAAACTATACACAAAATGTATTTAATCAAGCTCAGGACTTTAATGATTACGCAGTTATCTTGAGTAAGTTATGAGATTAACATCTGCATGAATTGATTCTGCCACCATCTTTTGATTAAACTAATTAAAGCTAATTAAAGGTGCAGGGTTCCTGGGCAGACCCCACTCTCTTTTTTRAGAACCACTCTGTGACTGGGAGTCCTGTGTGTGTGACCAAAGCTCCTTCACACAGGCCAGGTGCCCCAAAATTTCTAAAATTTGAAGAGCCCTTGTAAACCAAATCAAATTTTCTAGAGAAAAATGACAGAGGTGATGTCACCAAATTTTGGACGTCTTAAAAGGAAATATGAAAGTCTAAACGATTTTCACTGCTCTTCATTTATAGATAATGGAGAGACTGTTCTATGGATTTTTAACCTACATTTGCAATACAATTGTTAGAAATAAAACCTAAATGTAGCAGGAAGGGTAGAAGAAACCCAGAAAACACTGCAGGAGGAGGTGTTGTGCAACGAGAGCCATGAGCACAAATTCTGCAGAACAGCACGAGTGGTAGCTCTGTCTCCCACAGAGCCAGCATTTGCCCTTCAAAGTTTTTTTAAAGTATTTTGGAACCTCTCCAAACCCACTCAGAAAGACATTAAGAGTCCAAACCATCTGGCTGGTAACATATTCCACTGGGCACTGCTGTGTGAATGTTCAGCAACTGCTCCTAAGGAAATAACAGCCAAATCACTATGTTGAACATCCATAAATTTAGAAATACAGTTTTTACTTCTCTTTCCCTTTTTTTAACTTTTTTTTTTCT